AATCATGAATGTTGCAAAGATGATCATGATACTGGTTTTCCTACTAACCCAATCTTAGAGATAATGGGCCATTTATTCAGACTAAGTTGTATGTTAAAAAGTCAGGGTCGGGAGATTTGAATCTACAAATTTATACTTAGGAGAAACTTTCTTAGGCTATGTCTACACCGTGCACCTTACAGCAACACTGCTACAGCAGTGCCGCTGTAAGGTACGCAGCGTAACCGCTCTTTGTCGGCAGGAGAGAGAGCTCTGCTACCAACAAAATAACTCCTCCCCCATTCCCCAAACGAGGGGCGGTAGCTTTGTCGGCAGGAGAGCATCCCCCGTCGACATAGCGCTCTCCACACTGGTGCTTTTCGTCAGAAAAACTTTTGTTGGTCAGGGGTGTGGTTTTTTTCACACCAACGAGCCACGAACATTTTACTGACAAAAGTGCAGTGTAGGCATAGCCTTAAGCTGAACGATTAGACTTCAAAATATAAATAAAAACCTCAAAATAAAAGTAATGAATATGCCAGGCAGATGAAAATCACCAAGGAGTGCACAGTAATAGCTTACAAGAAAACCCAGCTAGTTTTAGTTATCTGTTACACCAAGAGACAATCCAGTAAATGTTTTCCAGTGTAAGACTCTTGAACAGTAAAGATACACGGTTCTTATATTAGTTCTTTCATTATTAGAGCCAATATAGATAAGATTGTAAAACAAACAGTTTCCAGTATAGGGCACTGGGGCTCTGCTTAGACACACACACATAAAGGGGTATCATTAGTGTTAAGGTTGTTTTGTTAACTAGACCCAGGGGGCCTAGTTACTGCAGAGCACAGAAGTCATATACACCGAGGGCATGTCTATGCTACAAAACTTTGGTTCACGCAAGTTATGCCAGTGTAAAGCCACCGCAGTTAAGATATGGCTTGTGCACGTCCCTACTGAGTTCCTGCACATACTCACCAGGAGCGCTTGTGTTGATACACAATGTTGTGCACCATGGGCAGATATCCCAGTGTGCTACAAACCATTGTGCAGCCTCTTTTGGGAAATTCAGGCACTGCATGGTGGGACAGAAATGAGTCACGCAAGGGGGTCTGGGAGTGAAGGGTCAAGTTCTGATCATGCAACCGTCTCCATCCCATTATGCCATTTCTATCCCATAACATTTGTGCCGTTTGTAAAAATCCCACAAACCCATGCAGTACCAGTCACAGTCCACCATCTCTGACAGAAGCAGGGAGTCTGCATAGCTCTGCACAACTGTCATGAGTGTTGCAAACACAGAATGCACTATCCTCTAGTGTTTGCAGAGCCACAAAAAGAACCACAGCTGCGAGCAATGTGATAATTTCATGGAGGACAGCCTGCTGTGGGACTTAGCAAAAACCAATTCAAGGTTGCTGGTGGTGTTCCTGAAACAGCTACAGATGATTGAGTGTGGCTTCTGGACCTGAGAAACAAGTCTTCACTGGTAGGATTGAATCATAATGCAGGTTTGGGTTGACAAGTAGTGTCTGCAGAACTTTCAAGTTGTGAACGGCCACATTCCTGGATCTGTGTGCTGAGCTTACCCCGGCCCTCCAGCACAGGGACACCAGAATAAGAGGGGCACAGACAGTTGAGAAGTGAATGGCAATCACACTAGAGAAGCCTGCAATGTTGGATTGCTGCTGATACATGGGAAATCATTTTGGAGTTGGAAAATTCACCATGGCAGCTGATGTTATTCAAGTGTTCCATTTTGTGGTGCTTGTTGTACCTTTGTAATTACAGTGTTTGTTACTGATCCCATGAGTTCTGTTGCCCTGTACAATAACAAACAGTGGGTGCTTTCAGTTATGCTAAGCATTATGTTGCGAATTAATAAAAGATACATTTATTAAGATCTGTTCTCAGAAACAGATTTTATTGGGTACCAAAGCCAGTGCATAGAAATTATATGCAATTAAAAAACCCACAAAAATTTTTTTAAATAAATTAAAAGGAACAAAAAATTAAACACAGATAAAGAACGTTCATCTCCATTTCAGCTACACAGACAATAATCATGGCTCCCACAGGCCAGGATGTGAAACTGTGGTTGTCCTTACTGTCTCCCAGTGTAGAGTGACAGGGGTAGGGACGCAGCCCTAATGCCATGTGGAACATTGGAGAGCAGGGGGGTGTATGAGAACTCCATTTTAGCACCTCCCATTCACTGAAAAGAGAGGCAAGTCCAGGCTGGTTGATCCTGCAGGTCCACCAGAGTTTGCAGCATCTGTGTTTTGTGCTGAAGAAGCCTCACTATGCCCTGGTGCATCTGCCTCTCCTTTTCCTGATGGGCCTTTCTCCTGTCCACTCTTTCCTTCTCCATAGAGTCTCTTCTTTCTCTTCCTTATCTAGCTCAAGCACTCCACAGATAGGGAGGGGGACCCCTGAAGGCCACAATGGCAGCAGCTACAGCTAACACAGACAGAGGTATCATTGTAAGTATAGTCAAAACGGAAAGTTTACGTTTAGTTTCAGAACTCCCTTCCATTGCTGCCCTAATGTTTTAAACAAGACACACTTATTGACACTTCAGCATGCTTGGGCACAGCCCCACCCTCCAATTCCAGCCAGCGTGAGTGTGGCCTGCCAGAGGCAGGGGGAAGAGAAATGAGGAGGGAATTGTTTGGTTGCATGAAACAATACGAAGTATAGGGCAATGGCAGTAAATACGGCCACTATTTTCCACAGGCAGTGGTGACTTTAGCTGAACTCTCTCCCGAGGATAACAATAGGCACAGAGCACAGCTGCAGATGGTGACCCAAAACCACCAGGGCCTATATGCTGCTAGCTGTCAACTCCAACGACGCCTGCTAAAGTGATCGCAGAGTGGAGTGGGAACGTGTCCTACCACAGAGGAAGAAATAGAAACCTAGAAACCTGCAGGAGAGGTTTGCAGAGTGCCTCCATGAATGTTCCATCAAGGTCTCTCAGGACGATCCAAAGGACATCCGTTTGTACCTAAACGAACTGCTCCACAGGTCCCCTACCCTCTGCCTATCTCTAGTGGGGAATGAAAAGCAGATCACTACCTCTTTTTGTTGTACCACTACCTCTCCTAGCATGAGTAAATTAATAAATCAATAGATTGGTCCTGCTATATTGGGGTCAGGCACCATCAGTACATTTAAAAATTGTACAGGTGAGTCGCATCATACACTTATTTAACTTACGCGAATTCAACTATATGTGCTCGGAAAAAAAGAAAAGAAAAAGAAAAACAACAACAAGATAACTGTAAATAGTGTGGGTGATTCCGCCCACTATTCCACTCAATGAGCCTATGCCCCAGAGTGAGCGTGAGATGGGAGACGTGAATCTGCTGTTCCCTCAGTCGGTCTTGGTTCCCGCGTGCCTCTCATAGCGTAAGCATCTTGCCACGCTGAGTGTGATTCTAGAGTTTAAAGATACTGTATGTATTTTTCGTACAACGTGGCCCCTAAACACAAGCCAACTACCTCATCTGGGGCTCAACCGAAGAAACAGCGATCTGTTCCAACGCTGGAGGAAAAACTGGCTGTGTTGGACTTACTGAGAGACGGCATGTCGGTCTCCAATGTGGCATGTAAATATGGCCGCAACGAATCTAGCATCCGTGCCATCAAGATTCGAGAGAGAGAAATTCGTCAAGCCGTGGCATCAAGTGCTCCAATAACAGCTAAGGTGACGAGCCAGGTGCATGATAAGACTTTAGTGAAGACTGAAAAGGCATTAAACTTACGGCTGGAAGACATGAACCGTAAAAGCGTGTCTGTCGATGGCAACACATTGAGAGAAAAGGCTCCTAGCCTCTACGTGCTGTTCAAACCTCCCGCCGAAGAGGGACAGCCTTCTGAGGAGAAGGAATTCAAAGCCAGCCAAGGTTGGCTTAACAGTTTTAGGAACCGCTTCAACCTCAAAAACGTGCAGACTACTGGTGAAGCTGCATCTGCCAGCGAAGAGGCAGCAAAAGCCTACCCCGAACAATTAAAGAAAATCACAGAAGAAAAGGCCTATCTTGCAGAACAAGTTTTTAATGCCGACGAGACTGGGCTTGTCTGGAAAAAAATGCCCAACCGCACTTACACTTCAGAATCAGAAAGACAAGCCCCTGGCTTCAAAGCAGCTAAAGACCGTGTGACTGTGTTGTTTTCTGGCAATGCGGCTGGGCATTTAATGAAGCCGGGTTTGCTTGACAGGGCTGCAAATCCCCGTGCCCTAAAAGGCAAGAACAAAAAATATCCTGCCTGTGTTCTGGCAACCAAATAAAAAGGCTTGGGTGACAGCAGCATTATTTCTGGATTGGCTCCCCTGTGTTTTATTCCAGAGGCCAAGTGGTACCTCGGAGAGAAAGGACTGGACTTTAAAGTGTTGCTGGTCATAGACAATGGTCCTGGCCACCCTGCGGCACTCCGGTTTGCGCAGGATGACGTTGAAGTGGTCTTGCTCCCCCCCACTAATACCACCTCCATCCTCTCGACCAAGGCGTGATTCGCTGTTTCAAGGCCACATACACAAGGCTTATGTTCTCACGGATAAGTAGCACTATGGATACTGATCCTAATCCTAACGTGATGGAGTGTATACTGTACTTTATGGGCGATTTAAGGGATTTTCAAGGGTAATTTTGACTATAGGCGATTTTCGCCTTACACGCTGACTTTAGAACCTAACCCCTGTGTAAGATGCGACTCCACTGTACTGGGAAATGCATTCGCACACTTACCCGTTGTCACGGAGTCCCTGGGCGATGCTCTGGAACTGCTCCCCATGAAGCCAGTCAGGACTCTGGGGCAGTCGCCTTTCTGTGAGCAGCCTGTCTTCAGGACACACAGCTCACACAGCTTCCACCTTCCTGGGTCTGACCTCGGAGCATTCAGCATCCTCTGCCCCTCCGTGCGCTTCCCCCCACCGAGTCCGCTCAGGCGGGGCTCCTGGGGAAGCCAGAGGGTCCTGCACCCCAACTTCACAGTCAGACGTGACTCTCAGCCAGCCAGTAAAACAGAAGGTTTATTAGACGACAGGAACATGGTCTAAAACAGAGCTTGCAGGTGCAGAGAACGGGACCCCTCAGCTGGGTCCATTTTGGGGGGCAGTGAGCCAGACAACCACGTCTGCACTTCACTCCATGTCCTAGCCAGCCCCAAACTGAAAACCCCCTCCAGCCCCTCCTCCTCTGGGCTTTGTTCCTTTCCCGGGCCAGGTGGTCACCTGATTCCTTTGTTCTCCAACCCTTCAGCTCTCACCTTGCAGGGGGGGAAGGGCCCAGGCCATCAGTTGCCAGGAAACAGGGTGTTGGCCATTCTCTGTGTCCAGACTCCTGCACACACATGCCCTCTAGGGCTCTGCAATGATCAGACACCCTTACTCCACCCCCTAGATACTTAAGAACTGCCTAGGGGAAACTGAGGCACCCCCACACTATTCAGAGGAAACATTAAGAACAGTCCCACTTCGTCACATCTCTCCCCCCTTCGAGATCGAACTGAGCGGGGTCACTTTAGCCGGTGACCTGGGGAAGTTCGAAGCCACCAACGTTCCCATGGATGCCCCAGCATCTCTCCCATTCCTTGGTAGGAGTTACACCAGGCCCTTCCAGTTTCACGCCCTCCCTTAGGTCAGGGGGGGTCGATAGCACTCGCAGGCCGCATGTGGGAAGGTTTATGCAGCCCATGCCCTTTGGCCACCCCAAGAATGTCTCCCCATTGACCATCACCTTCTGCTCCCACTGGAGGTCCGAGGGGCCTGGCCCCAGGAAACTCCACACAGACATATAGGTTGGGGTCAGGAGTGGGAGCCTGTCCACATCCCCACCCATCTGGCTGACGGAGTCTATGGCCTTGGGACCCAGCAAGGGAGCTAGACACCGGGGCTTTTCCGCAGGGTCCCCTTGGTTCAAATCTCCAGCCTGCTCAAAGGCAGTGAGGTGGGCATCCACCTCCCCCCCATCCTTAACCAGGGGCAGCAATTTAGTCTTGAGGTTCCCTGCGGAACTGGCACCCCGGGGTCTATCCCCACTCACCCCGGGGAGGTCCCCTAGGCCTCTCCACCCCACCACCGCCAGTTCATGCTGCTGCTGCTTCTGCAGCTCTTTCTCGGGCTCTCGCTGTCTCCCACGGTCCTCTTGCTCTCTCAGACTCAGCTCCAATCCCGTCCATCTCGATCCCCCGATGGGGAACCCGATCGTGAATACCCCCGTCTGGTCGGGGACAGGAGTCTTGGCGATGCCTGGCTCCCACTCCAGCTGCTCCCAGATCCTGCTATAGCCCCAGTTGGGGTCAGGAATCTGTTCCTTAGAGCGGTCATCCTCCTCCAGCTGCACGATTAACTCTGCTTTGGTGAACTTTCCAAGGCTCAACCCTCTCTTTTTGCACAGGGTTACAATGTCCTTCTTAAGGAGACTGTGACAGGCCATCACTCCGCTCCTCCTAAGTTGTTGTGGACTCACAGGCCCATGTGTTCTCAGCTCCCCATGGTTTCCAGGGAGAACCCCTAGTCTGCCAGCCCTTCTCGAGGTCACAACCTCTTTGCCAGGGTCGAGCTGCAGACTCCTCCGCCCCTTGGACTGCTCGCTGCAATCCCCAGGGGAACCCTGTTACTGCAAAAGTCCTTCTCTCTCCCCGGGCCAAGCTGCAGGCTCCTCCGCCCCTGAGACTGCTCACTGCAGTCCCCAGGGGGACCCCATTACTGCACAGTCCTTCTCGCTGGTCACACACTCCCAGGGGTTAACCGCCCCCGGAAACCGCTCCTCTCTGAGCCTTCAGCAGGCCTGGTCCTCGGCAATCCCCCTTCGTGTTACTGCTCCCCAGTCACTTACTGCAGGAAGCGCCATCCACGGGGTGCAGTACATCCCACCGCTGCCACCAGTTGTCACGGAGTCCCTGGGCGATGCTCTGGAACTGCTCCCCATGAAGCCAGTCAGGACTCTGGGGCAGTCGCCTTTCTGTGAGCAGCCTGTCTTCAGGACACACAGCTCACACAGCTTCCACCTTCCTGGGTCTGACCTCGGAGCATTCAGCATCCTCTGCCCCTCCGTGCGCTTCCCCCCACCGAGTCCGCTCAGGCGGGGCTCCTGGGGAAGCCAGAGGGTCCTGCACCCCAACTTCACAGTCAGACGTGACTCTCAGCCAGCCAGTAAAACAGAAGGTTTATTAGACGACAGGAACATGGTCTAAAACAGAGCTTGCAGGTGCAGAGAACGGGACCCCTCAGCTGGGTCCATTTTGGGGGGCAGTGAGCCAGACAACCACGTCTGCACTTCACTCCATGTCCTAGCCAGCCCCAAACTGAAAACCCCCTCCAGCCCCTCCTCCTCTGGGCTTTGTTCCTTTCCCGGGCCAGGTGGTCACCTGATTCCTTTGTTCTCCAACCCTTCAGCTCTCACCTTGCAGGGGGGGAAGGGCCCAGGCCATCAGTTGCCAGGAAACAGGGTGTTGGCCATTCTCTGTGTCCAGACTCCTGCACACACATGCCCTCTAGGGCTCTGCAATGATCAGACACCCTTACTCCACCCCCTAGATACTTAAGAACTGCCTAGGGGAAACTGAGGCACCCCCACACTATTCAGAGGAAACATTAAGAACAGTCCCACTTCGTCACACCCTGCAGCAGGCTCCCCTGTGCTTGACTGGAAAGTGCGGGCCCCTTACTGAATGAGGGAGGCAACCTAGTGACAGAGGATGTGGAAAAAGCTAATGTACTCAATGCTTTTTTTGCCTCTGTCTTCACGAACAAGGTCAGGTCCCAGACTGCTGCACTGGGCAGCACAGCATGGGGAGGAGGTGACCAGCCCTCTGTGGAGAAAGAAGTGGTTCGGGACTATTTAGAAAAGCTGGACGAGCACAAGTCCATGGGGCCGGATGCGCTGCATCCGAGAGTGCTAAAGGAGTTGGCGGATGTGATTGCAGAGCCATTGGCCATTATCTTTGAAAACTCATGGCAATCAGGGGAGGTCCCAGACGACTGGAAAAAGGCTAATGTAGTGCCCATCTTTAGAAAAGGGAAGAAGGAGGATCCTGGGAACTACAGGCTAGACAGCCTCACCTCAGTCCCTGGAAAATCATGGAGCAGGTCCTCAAGGAATCAATTCTGAAGTACTTAGAGGAGAGGAAAGTGATCAGGAACAGTCAGCATGGATTCACGAAGGGCAAGTCATGCCTGACTAATCTAATTGCCTTCTATGACAAGATAACTGGTTCTGTGGATGAGGGGAAAGCAGTGGACGTGTTGTTCCTTGACTTTAGCAAAGCTTTTGACAAGGTCTCCACAGTATTCTTGCCAGCAAGTTAAAGAAGTATGGGCTGGATGAATGGACAATACGGTGGATAGAAAGTTGGCTAGATTGTCGGGCTCAATGGGTAGTGATCAATGGCTCGATGTCTAGTTGGCAGCCGGTATCAAGTGGAGTGCCCCAAGGGTTGGTCCTCGGGCCGGTTTTGTTCAATATCTTCATTAATGATCTGGAGGATGGTGTGGATTGCACCCTCAGCAAGTTTGCAGATGACACTAAACTGGGAGGAGAGGTAGATACGCTGGTGGGTAGGGATAGGATACAGAGGGGCCTAGACAAATTAGAGGACTGGGCCAAAAGAAATCTGATGAGGTTCAACAAGGACCAGTGCAAAGGCCTGCACTTAGGACAGAAGAATCCCATGCACCGCTACAGACTAGGGACCGAATGGCTAGGCAGCAGTTCATGATTCATTTTTATTTTTTCTGTAATCAGACCAATGGCCCATCTAATTGTACACTCAATATTGTGTTGAACACTGGGTTACATCCAAAACTGTAGTAAGAAAAACATCCACAAGAAACCTGCCCATTTTGCAATATATTCTTGACTTCATCTAGTGATCAATGTAAGCTATGAAACATGAATAGATAGCCCTTGTAGTTCTCATCTTAGTGAATTAACTGTGTATGCCGTTATTCACACAATGGTCAATATTTTGCAGTATTTAGTTTCATAGACTAAGTTACTTTAAGCGTCACGTATTTCCTTTCATCCATTTTAAATGTGTTGCCTTTTTGTTTTACTTGGTGCCCTTCTGTTCTTGTATAACTGGAAAACCCAAGTAGGAGATCTGAATGGCCTTTTATAAAAGAAAATAAATCCATGATTGACAGAGTATGAGAAAATACACTGGCAGGAAAAAACCAGCATTAGCAGGGGAATGGATTAAATGGAATTCCACATTTAGATACGAAGGTAATAGGTATAAGGAACCAAAGAGTCACTAGACAACCCAAGAGGGGTAAGGAAAAGTAACTTCCATTGTTCCATTCATGGTTTTATTTTTCTCTAAATAAAAAGGTATTAAATACAATTTTTACATTTAAAAAAAAAATCAGTTCTGCATCAAGCTCGATGTTCATAGTCTACCGGGCAGTTATGTCTACTTCTCTCCATCCTTTCCCAGAATAAAAAGAATACATGAAAACCCTTCACAAAATAAAACCACCACATTGTTTTAAAGCATAATTAATCAGCATTGATAACTGCTTGAGATGTTATCGACTACTACACAGAATTATTTTAGAGGCAATAGAATTCAAAATGCTTCAAATCATGTGTCAGCACAGAATTAGATTGCTTTCATTTGTCACATTCAACATTAGATTAAAGAAATAACACCGTTCACAAGTGGTATGAACTCCGAAGCCAACATAACATGGCCGCAGAGTCTTCTTGAAATATGCAAATGCTGAAAGTTAATCCAAGCCCACACTATGCTCACAATCTCCATTATAAAAATAGAGGCCTGCTGTTTTATAGTTCCCTATAGCTTAATCTAAAATTCATTACGACATGCGCCTCAGTATCCCTAGATTTCTGGAAATTGCGAAGTAAAGGCATGTTAAGGTGGCAGAGCTCAAAATGAGAAGAAAACAACGTGGAGCAGCCGGGAAAGAACAGACGACCCTCATGTAATGCTGCAGCACACGTCTGAGCTGGGGGGCGGAACAAAACAAGTATATCAAAACAGGCATTGGGCAATGTAGACAAGCTCAAATGAATCTTTCCCCTCATGTGTACTTTAGGTTTTATTTGTTTGATCTTTCAATCTTTGCCTTTTGGGTTTCTTACTCAAAAGTAAAAAGCTATTTAATTTTGCAAGAGGCTGAGACGGTGTACCTCCTTGGGGGGAAAATACACCAGAGGTCCTACTCACTTGGGAGGCTCACGGTCATTCAAAACTTCATCTTCACTGTACCTGATGTTAGAATAATGAAGCACCTGAAAGCCCAAATACTTATGTAAGTACCCGGGTTCTATTGTTCCTTGAACTGACCCATTTTTGGAAGGGAGGGGACAAGAACTAGGAATGAGGCCAGCATTCTAATTCTGTCTGCTAAGGGACATCTCATTCTTGTATGCAGTGTCATTGTACCTGTGCTGGTCCCAGGATATTAGAGACACAGTGAGGATGAGGCCATTTCTTTTCTTGGACCAACGTCTGTCGGTGAGAGATACAAGATTTTGAGCCACCCTATATCTTCTTCAGGTATAAGCGACTAGTGGGGGCTCAACAACTTGTCTCTCTCACCAACAGATGTCGATCCAGTAAAAGATATTACCACACCCTCCCTGTTTCTCTAAGAGACCTCTAAAGAAGCCTGCATGGATTGAAAATATCCCCATATATTTAAGGCTCCTCAACCACATCAGAACACAAAAGACAGCACGCTTTGCTTGTCCCTTGCCAACCCTTCTCCTCCCACCAACCGCTCTCCATCATAAAGCGGCCAAAACAAACTGCCAGACATCATAATCCCTAAGCGCCCTATACTCTACAGACCCCATGGCCAGCCATTCACGAGAACAGATCATTTATAGGCTGGAAATTCCCCTGCCAGCGCTTGCACGGGCAGGGAGAGCTGGCGGCGCCCAACCAAAGATGAACCTGTGGCAAATCATCCCACCGGATGCGTGACCCTTCACCCACTTAAAAGGGATGAGAAAAAAAATCTCATCCCTCCCTGCGATCCATTGCCTCTCTGGAGACACGCTGGCTCCTCATCTCTCCTCCCAGCCGGCACAGCCCAGGGCCCTTCCCCAGGAGCGACCGGACTGGCTCCCCAGTGACAGACGCAGCCCATGGGGAGGCTGGGGGAGGATGGCGGGGCTTTGCATGCAGCTGGGGGGGGGTTTCCTAGCCCCAGAATTTACCCCCCCCCCCAAGACTTCAGCAATGGGCCCCTCGCCCCACCCAGGCTCCAGTATTTGGGGGTGGGGGAGGCAGGTGCCAGACCCCCAGGAGGGGGCGCCCAGACTCGGGGAGGGTGGACGGGGGGAGCCCCGGGTCCCGCCGGGGGGGGTCTCCCCAAGGATGGGCGCTCGGCCCCTGGCTCACCTCCGCAGTCTCTCCCGGAGCAGCCGCATGGGTCCTGGGCGCCGGGCGGGCGGGGGGTCGGGCCGGGGGGCTGCGGGCGGCTCCTGCGGCGGCGAGGGCCGGGGTCCGGGCCCTCATTGGCTTGCGAGCCCCGCGGCCCGGAGCGCCGGCAGCGGCGTGTGCAGGAGAGACGGAGCCGGCGGCACCGGGTAGGGGGGGCAGGCGCTCGGGGCGGCCGCTTTATCCGGCCCCTCGGCCCGGGCTTCCCTCCGCCCCATCCCCGCCCATAGCGCCGGCGCCGGCCCGCCCCTGTCGGCGCTGGGCCAGGGCGGGAGCGGCGGTGGAGGCGGAGACTCTGCCCCGGCGGGGGGACCCTGGCCTGGGTCCAGCGCCTGTCCGGGGGGCCGGATCGCCCGGGCTCCGCGGGGGCTGCAGCCAGGTGCAGCGGCGGCCCTCGCTCGCCCTTCGTGCCCGACACAAGCTCTGGGCCGGGGGGGATTCATAAAGGGCTCCCCGCAGAGCCTGAGCCTGCCTGGGGCGCCTTCCGTGGTACAATGGAAACCCCAAGCTGCAGCCAGCGAGAGTCCCCTGGCCGATGTTTGAAAATCAGACCCCATTTTATTCCAGCGGGACGCTGCTTTGTAACACGAACGAGCACATCCTGGTAGCAAGCTAGAGATTTCCTTTTTAAGAATGAAAGAAGAAGATGAAAACCCTTGTTCTGGTGGATTCCCTTCGTACACACACACACACGATGTTCAAAAGAAAGCCAGGCTGGAACTGAGCTCAATTTTTTCTTAGGTGAGGAGAGAAGCAGGGGTGCTGGAACTAGGGGTACTGCGGCACCCCCTGGCTTAAAGTGTTTTCCATCATGTAGAGGATTTAGTTTTGTTCAATGGCTCTCTGCACCCCCGCTATACAATTGGTTTTAGTGCCACGTTGGAGAAGGGGCAGAGTAAAAGGAGGGGAAAATGTAAGATAGGAGACTTTCAGATACAGGGGTGCTGGACTAAGAGCCTAAAGAGAATAGTTGTGAGGGTGGATGAAAGAATTGTAGGGGAGAGTGAAAAAGGAGAGCTAGGACAGGCAGCTGAAAAAGAGGCCAGGGCTGAATCAGAAAGGATGGTGGTTTCAGTCCCTTTGTTTTAATGTAGTTGCCCCAGGAAGCAGTGAGCTTAAAATGATGAATCTTCTTGACTCTTAAGAACAATGTACTTGTCTATAAAAAGGTGAGATACCATAACAGAAACAAATGAGAGAGAGCATGGCCTTGGGCATGGTGCACTGGATGCTGTGCCCAGAGCAGCTTGGCTTCTGTTCCCAGCTCTGCTACAGGTCAGGTTGCTTCACTTCTCTGTACCTCTGTTTTCCCTCCCACTATATGTCTTGTCTATTGTGACGATAGCCTTT